TTGTTATCTGTGGAGACTTCAGAAGCAATCTATTACATACACGGGCATTTGTATGACCTACAATGTCTTTAGAAGTAAACATAAGAAACTGGTAACAGTGGTTGATCTATAACTATTTAGGTCTTTGAATTTTGAATGTTTTTGCAGTAATCACTCAAAAATGCACATTAAAAGAAAAAACTACAGTAACACATACTACATTAATACTAGTTAAAAATCTTCTACCTTATGAAAGAATGCATAAAATGTTCTTTTAAGAATTTCTTTATAAATATTTTAACATGTTTGCTTATAAAAGAATCCGTAAGATGGGCCCAGTGACACCTATAATCCCAGCAACTCAGGAACCTAAGGCAGGAAGATCACAAACTTAAGGTCAGCCATAAGAACTCAGTAGGACACTGTCTCAAAATCAAATAGGGCCAGGATACTGCTCAAAGTACAGTATATGCCTAGTAGGCCCAAGACCCTGGGTTTAATCCAAAGTACTGCAAATAAATGAAGCATTTCATAATGCTCAACTTCATTTATAATCAAGGAACTGTAAATTAAAGAACCACCTTCTCCTCATCAAATTACACTCAATGCCAACATCTTTCTACAGCACAGTGGGCAGATGGCCTCTTTTCCCTAAACCAGGGGTGAGACATTGAGATGGGAACAACAAAGGCCCAAAAGAAGACACCTCCCTCTACGTGGAAATGTTCTGAATGCCACAGGAGACCCCATTGGTGGCACTCAGGGGACACCTCTCAGACAGAGCAAGAGTCACCCCGAAACCCTGCAGCTCAGGATCTTATGCATGTTTGTATGGGGGAGAAGTGGAGATAAATGCATGTGTGTATGGAACAAATATATGTGAACTCCTGGTTATTATCCAAGAAATGAATTCTTATGCTCACCAAAATACAAGTATGAAACTGTTCAAAGCAGCTTTATTTGTAAAAACTAAAAACTGACAACAGCTCAAATATCTGTCAACAGTAGAACAGATAAATATATACTCATACAATGGAATATACAGCAATAAAAAAGGACTTTAAGCTATTGCAAACTCAAAATATGATGAATATCACAGACATCATGTCAAACAAAGGAAACATAAAACAATGACCTAATTTCATTATATTAAATTCAGGAATAAGCACTAGTCTAGAGTAATGAAGATCAGAAAAGTGGTTATCTTTAAGAAGTATCAACTAGGAGAGACTATGAGAGAGTTTTCTAAAGCTCTAGGAATGTCTACACCTTGATCTGGTTGGTGGTTATACGTTACCAGGTGTGAATATTCATTATAAACAGGTGTGGTGGTACACACCTGTAATCCTTTTACTCTGAGAGGCTGAGGCAGGAGGCAGCAAGTTTGTGCGCACTCGGGGCAACTTAGTGAGACTCTGTCTCAAAAATAATGATTTAAGAGAGCTAGAGATATAGCTTAGTGTTAAGGGCCTATGTTTAATCCCTCTACCCACCCCTAATCCCCCCCCTAAACCCCACACATATTGACAATATTATTTTCCAAGTAAAAAGCAGCCAAGGAAAAATAACTATCAAATTACTGACAGCCAAGCCTAGATATTGCTAAATCAGTTAATGTCTCTCCTAACAATTTTAAAGATAGGGATTAATGGTTGCTTCAAAATTCTACAAGACTTCTGCAGATGTAACTTCTATTGTGAGGGATATCTCCTAAACATGAGGCTAGGGACCACAGTGTTAATATCACTTTGTGGTCACAGGGGCAAGAAAATAATTTAGAAACCTTAGAGTTTTCAGAAAATAGGACAGGACTGAAATTAATTTATCTCCAGCATAACGAAGGCGTTCATCTTGGTATTGAGAGTTCAAACATATAATGAGACAACCATGTGCAATCAAACAAATGGGATTGAAAAAATAGTAAGACAAACATGAGCCTGCCCTTGAATTCAGGGAGAGAGATAATTACAGCACACTAAGGGACATAAGACACCGAGTGAACAAGATGACACATGGAGTGCTTAACCTAGCCAGGTGGGAAGAAAGTCGGCAAGAGGGCACAGGAGACCTAAAAATAAAAAGCACAGTGGTGTATCTTGAAAAATCAGTCAACTTTGCGAGAAGAGAACAGAAGTGGCCAAAATGGTGGCATATGCCTGAAATCCCAGCACTCAGAAGGCTGAGCAGGAGGATGGCTGTGAGTGCACGGCTACCCTAGGCTACAGTGAGTGTAAGCCCAGCCTGAACTACGTAGTGAGACCCCATGTAAAAACAGAGAAAGGGAGAGCTGTTAAGCAGTGTAGAGAACACAGCAAAGGCTGAGTCAGGAAACAGTATAGTTCATTCAGTAATCTGCTCCTAATAAGTAAAACCGGAGCTCAAGATTTACGGCAGGGGAAACACAAATATGCCAGAGGATGAAAGGCCTGGGAAAGGTAAGACATTATGACTAAATACTACAGGTAAAGCAGAAGTATGGGTTTTTGGCAGTGAATAACCCTAGCATTCCGGAAGGCTGAGGCAGTAAGATCGTAAATTTGAACCCAGGGCAACTTAGCAAGACTCTGTCTCTCAAAGAAGAGCTGACAATTAGCTCAGTGTAAAAAGCCTTTAGGAGTTCAATCCCCAACACTGAAAGAAAACAAAACAAAATAATGAACAAATCTGCATCTCAGAAGAATTACCTTGGTAGTTGCATAAGAGACTACAGAATTATCCAAAGTCACATTGTAAGGAGTACAGCAAAGACTGGGATTTACATCATGATTTCCTTTCTAAAAACTGCTTTATTGCATCACATTTGTGAATGTAGAATTTTGCACAGTAATTCAAAAGACATTTTGGAGCTGGGCATGGTGGTGCACACATGCCCTCAGGAGGCTTAGACAGGATTGCAGTGAGTTCAAGGCTAGCCTCAATTACACGTGACACTTGTCTCAAAAATTTTTTTCAAAACATGTTTTCTGTCATTAATTGCCTGTATCAACTTTAACTATAAAATTATTTTCACGGTTTCTATGCCTCACAAGAACAAATACATCTATTAGATGTACATATGTTTAAAGGGGGGGGGAGGGGCCAAGAGTGGTGGTGCACACCTATAATTTCAGTACTCCGGAAGCTGAGGCAGGAGGATTGCCAAGAGTTGGAGGCAAACCCCGGCTACAAATTTGTTTACCCCAAATTATAGATTCAGAGAACTATTATAAACACAGGCTCCAGTGCTTCTCACACCCAAACCTATACTACTACTGTCAGGGGCTGGGGATTTAACTCAGGGGTACAGCGCCTGCCTGTCAAGAGTTAAAGGCCCTGTATTTGATTGCTGATTACTCCCCACCCTTAAAAGCTAGTCTACTTCTGTCAGGCAAGCACACAGGCTTTCTGACTTAGATATTTTCAAAAACCAATACACATACAAATAGGTAATTTTATTTAAATTCCACCTAAGTCCGGGGCATACAAGCAAAACTGTGAAAGATCAAACTGATTGGCAAGATTTTCTAAAATAGCTCTAACACTATATTCCCCGCTCCCCCTGTACTGGAGATTGAACCTAAGGCCTTTGATCTAAACTACATTCCCAGCCCTTCTTAAAATTTTACTTAAACCAGGAGACTGTGCAGGAGGATCGTTGCAAGCTCGAGACCAGCCTGGGCTACAAAGTGACCTAAAGGCCTATCTCAAAAAGGCCAAATAAATAAATAAAATAAAGTTTTATACACACACACACACACACACACACACACACACACACACACACACACACGAGAGAGAGGGGGGGGGGAGCTGGGCGGGAACTTTCCGACTCTCCTTCCCCGCCTCCCAAATTTACTAGTCATTCTTAAAGAGTTTGTAAATGACGCTTTTGCAGAGATTCAGCTCTGGAGCTTTCAATTCCAATACACTTTAAGAAGCAAAACTGGAAGTTATCTTTCTCCACAAAAGGAGAAAGAAACTAGAACACACTTTCCAGCCCTAGCTGATTCTGCCTAACCTTCGGGCAAGAAGACTTTAGGGCAGATGTAGCAACGCCGGATCAGCAAAGCAGACCACCTAGGAGAGGAAGCCGAATCCAGAGACTTCCCCAGCCTCACAGCCACCAGTTGCAGCGGACGCTCGCCTCCTCCAGGACCTCAGCCCACAAGCCCACGTTCCCAGAGCTTCGGCGAGATCGGGGCGCCCCCAAGGGGATCGCAGTGCCGAGGAACGAAAACCGCTGAACAAACCCACTATTTTTACAAGGAGGCAGCAACACGGATCCCCCAACTAAGCATACAGCCAATGGCATATGAGTAGGAACCAGACCCAAAACGATGCTGGACAACTACAGTCCACGGAGCTGGCTCTGCAAGCCACTAAAGCCCCCTCCAGCCATCAGAAGACCCACGCCCGCCGAACCGCGCCCACACTACGAGATCACGGACTGGGGGCGACCCTAACTCGTTCTGCCGCCCCCAAAACGTCTGGGGATCATGCCCAGGTACTGCCGCCCTCTGGGTAAAGCAGAAACCCCAGCAAACACTTTGGACTCCGCCGTGCACCCCTCTTTCGCCTCCAAAGACCCCGCCAGGGAGCCCCTGCGAGACAGACACATCGCCCTAAGACCTCCAGACTCCCCCCAACAGACCCTCCGCTGCTTCATCCCAGGCATGCGGAACAGACGCCCACTCCCGCTCGGAGAAACCCCAAGACTCGGAGGCTCCGTCCCCTGACACTTAGCTCCTCTGCCTCCCGGCAGCCCGGACCCTGGTATGAAGCCCCGGGGCCCCTGAACTTCACCAGCCCACCCCAAGATATCGCGGGACCCTGACACATCCTCCTCGACCCCGAAGCCCTGAGGCCCCCTTTGCAGCCACGCTCTCACTATGCTAAGCCCGCAGAGCTTCGGGACCCCCGCACGCCGCGCCCGCAGCAGACCTCGCAGCGTTCCCCGAACCTCGCACCCGGAGCCCGCGCAGCCCCGGAGCCGCCCCCGCCCCGACCGCCCCTCCGCGGAACCGTGCGCCGGACTTCCACACCTGGGCAGCGGCAGAGAGCGAGCGGACCCAGAGCCCCGAAGACGAGAGCCGGGTGGCAAACGAGCGGCGGCCCAGGCCTGCGGTGCCGCAGCTCCGACCTCCGCGCGAGGAAGCACCGCTGTGAGGAGAGCCCTCCCGCTCCGCTCGCAACCAGGAGACCGAACGCGCCGTGCCCACCTCTTCCCGCGAGATCCCAGCCACGGCGGGGGCGGGGCCGCGGCGCGGTCCTCGAGTGATAGCCCCGACAGCCTGTCGGCGGCAGCGAGGGAGGCGGGACTCGGGGCCCACGATAACCAATTGTAAAGGAAGAACGATGCTTCGTCCCGCCCTTCATCAATAAACTATGAGCAGAGTAGTAGTGACATGAAAGAGTCAGGGGCAATGGACGTTCCTCAAGGTAGCTTGGGTGATGCAGCTTGGCTGGTATTTGGTCCTGCTCGGCCGCCGTAGATACACCAGGTTTGAGGAAGAAATCGGTCTTACACTGGTGTCTACTCTTGCCTTTGGTTACAATACTGCCTGTAGTTTCCTAGGAGATCCCATTCTCCAAGGTGCAGCCCCCTCGGGTTACCCGTGCCTACTCCTTCCTTTGATGCAGATGCCCCCTTCCCCCACTTTCGGTCTCACTTCCCTCTGCACTTCAAACAGGGCGACATTGTTAAGATGCCATGTGTTCCAAGCCCCAAAGCGGGACATCTGGTCCGACAAAGGACTCTTCTGATTCGTCCAAGCTTTCTATAAGAGTAAAAAGTGAATCGCGCTTGAGTCACCAAGTAGCAAATTCCAAAATGCCGTGAAAAGAGGTGTCTTTGTGGAGACAGTGTCCAATGACCCTAAGCATACGCGGAGTTCTGAATGAATGGGAAATGGATGAACCGAGCCTGTAGTGTTTAAATATATTAATGTAGGCTTTCCTAGCTCTTCCTGTATAATGACAGCCAATCCCTGAACACTCCCTTCATTATTATGCCTATCCTGTAGCCTTCATTCAACTTCCTTTCCTCTCCTTATGCACAGTAAGAAGTGCCCTTTCTTCTCACCAAGGTTAACCCCTGCCACTGATGGGATAGCTACCGTGACCAGATTTAGTTCGGTCAGCCTTCCCCATTAGCAGTTTCTTTCCCTCAGCCCTTTCTCCCCCAAACGCACTGTTTCCTTCACACTGTCTCTTCCTGGAACAGAACAAAACCCCCGCTCTGCCTCTTCCACCCACTCAGCCTGCCCTATCTCCTTTCTTCTGAGAGTCACATTGCTTAAGAAACATTAAAGTATATTTTCTGTCCTTACTTTCTCATCCCTGTTCGCTGACAATGTTGCTTTTGCCCACACAATCCGCTGTTCTTTCAGTGGTTACAAAAGACCTCTTTCCTAATGGACAAATAGTGTATTTCAGGATGTTTTCCCCAATGACCTCTCTGCAGCCTATTGACAGTGCTGCCTGTCCCCTCCTTTAGTATCTGCCTAACTCCATTCTCTTGATTTCCCAGCTACTCTTCTGAATTTTTCCTTCACTCTCCTTCCCTGGTTTGAAACTGTTGCATATTGACAGCTCCTTATCTCATAGCCACACCTTGTGCATAATAAGAAAAAAATATCCACGCAGGGTTGCACACTTTGAGTGACAATTATTGGCTCAGACAAAAGCTGTTAGAAAAGTCCAGAGGGAGAAGATGCGGCTGTAAGGTTTGAGCTGGGTGGTAATAGTAGACTGCCCATATAAATGCAAGGCAGAAAGAGAGGCCTTTCAAAGAGAAATAATGTGACTGAGCACAGAGAGAGACACGTGGGCTGAACCTGACTTTGAGTTGGGTAGTCTGGTAGATAGATTCCAGCACAAGAGTAACTGGCAAGTAAGCTCAGAAAGGAACCAAATAGTAAAAGGCCTTAACTACCAAGCCAAGCTGATTCAATGTGATTTTGTTATAAGTGGCAAACCAGGACCAATCCTAACATCATAGGGTCCATGAAGAAGCTACCTATGGAGGTCAACTATCAAATGTTGAAGTATGTAAGTGATAAAACAAACTGTGATTTAAAATTTAAAATTCTATATCCTTTTGCCTTGAAAAATATACTTACTAACTTTTAAGGCCAGTTTTGGGGTTTAGAATTCTGGGATGAAACTTCTTGGAAAGTTCCCTGCTGAGGAAAAGCAGGATGGGGCTGGGGATTTAGCTCAGCGGCATAAGCGCCTGCCTTGCAAGCATGCAGTTGTGAGTTCGATCCCCAGTACCAATTAAAAAAAAAAAAAAAGGTCAGGAAGAAGGGTTTACCTATTACACAACCGGCAACAAAGCAGCTTCTCTCCTATGACCTCCTATAGCCAGTTCAGCCCCACACTGTCAAGTGACCCCAGTCCAGGTACACACACACTCCAACCAGCACATAAGGCTCCATGCCTACTCACCCGCATACCTTTGGACTCAGGGGTACTCATCCTAGAATCTAGGGGAAAGCCCACACAGGAAGTGGTTTCAGAGCACTTTGGGAGCCAGCTCTGAAGTGGCAAAGTCAGCTGAGGTTGGCTCTGTAGCTCAGTGGACTCCTATTTCAGTCTGGAAGGGTGTGGCAGAAGGGCCAGGGCTTTTAAAGGAAGCCCCTCCTGCCTGCCACTAAAGATGGTGCCAGCAGAGCCAGTGAATGTCTTACTAATGACAAGTAGAGTTGATCAGTCTTGAAGTAAAAATCAGATGTGTTTCCTATGCTTCCCAGCAAATGGCTCCTGCACTGCTATCTTAATGGCGGGAATATACTGGAAAGAAACTCTATTGTTGACTTTGTATCCTTGTGTGGCATCTCCTCTCCAATGCTCAGTGTTACGGATTAAGAACTGGTGGTCAACTTAACGCCAGCTGGATTACATCAGCATGGCACTGAGCACAGATGCTCCACTTGAGGAAAGTTGCCAGCATAAATAGACAGGTAGAGAAAGAGAATGGAGGTGTTAATGCGTTGCTGCGTTGGGGTACTGTGGGTTCTCCTACGAGTTGCTGTTTGAGCCATTAGATTCTCCTGGAGGAACTCTGGTCCTCACATTGAGCATTGCTTCCTGGCTCTGGAGGGGAAGACGTGTGCTGCTTGGTCTCCAGGATGAACTTGTCACACTGGCTTCCTGGCACATACCTGACTGTGCTTGTCATCAGAGGAGCTCGGGGCCTTCGTGTCACTGAGGATGGCCGTGGGGCCTTTCAGGGTAGCCCTGGTCTTTGTTGTGAGTGTGACTTCTCGGCTCCAGCATAAAACCTTCATCCACCAGCACAGCTCCTTCACCTCGCTGGCATGGACTTTCTGGTTTCCACTGCTGACCTTTGGGCCTTCACGGCACAGATCCGTAAAAGAGACTGGCGTGAGTCCTTCTTGTGGGCTCTAAACCTCCAGTTGGACTCATGGGAGGTGTTGTCATGAGCTCTAGGTTTTTATCTGGACTTGTGTGGGACATTGCTGTGGGATTTAGGCCTTGACTAAATATTCTATGTCTTTAGTGTTGCAGATAGGTTTCAGCATTTTCTTATGTTAACTCCTGGTAACCATTATAAAAATAATACTATAAAATCCATGTCCTGATTCTAATTGTTCTCTACACAACCCCTGTCTATAACACTCAATTTCATAAATTAGATCATTCCATGATTCCCTTATTAATTAATGTATCAGAAACCTGGCTATCTGTAAATGTGAGACAACAAAAAAGCCATGAAATGTTCTCAGCTTAGAATAAAGCTTGAAACACTTACATCTAACTTCTAAATCAAAATGCTTTGTAAGTAGGGGCTGTCAAAGAGGCCCTGTGTAGCAGACCTTTGGGATCTGAAAAGGCAGGCTGCCACCGCACACAGGGCTCCTCTTGCCATCTGTCACTGTGGCATGACACACCATTCTGTGGCCTGACAGTCACACTCTGTTCCTGCAACCTCTCCATCTGCTACAGAGTGCGTCCTTCCTCATACGTTGCACCGAGGAGCCACCTTGGCCTGTGTTTTGGAGATTGAAGCCTAGCATTCCATTCGTGGGCCCTGCGTTTTCTCAGTGGTGCTGCAGGGGATTTTAGCATGCAGTTTTGATGCCTGCTCACTTCTGACACTGAGGGCTACCCAGAGCCTCACTGTCACCATCTGTGACTCGTCTGTGCCAACCAGTGGCACAGCAGAACCTGCCTGCTTCTTACCCAGGTCTTAACATCTGCTGCCTGTATCCTGACGCATTCTAGGTAAACACAGTCACATCCCAAGCCTCTCTAAGATCCCACATGACTGTGTTGTTAAAGGCATTTTACTGGGGATCATTTGTTATGCAGCAATAGATAGCTAATACAAGAATATTGAGAGTAGTTCCACTCCTGGAAAAAAAGATTTAAAAGTTCACCTTCTACTCATCACTAGGCATTAACACTCTCTAAAAAGCACAGGACAACTGATTAGTAGCCATAACTTGCTATATACAAAATGCAAGAGAGGTTGTACCAAAAGAAAGTGGAAGAAATAATTTCTTGGTAGAAAAGATCCCAGTGCCTTCAAATTCAGGTCCTTAGGAGCCTTACAGCTATTGAACATAACAATAATTGTGGAGCCATTTAGAGACAGCTAATAGCAGGTCTCTAGCTGCAGGGGAACCTGAAGCTTAGAGGGCTTCACAAACATACTACTGTCAGCCAATCTCAAGTATATGTTTTCAGGAAATCAGAGGGGGAAAAACATTCTATTACTTAAGCATACCAGTTAAGAATACAAAGTTGAAAACTCCATCTATAGGGACCTCGTCAAAAATAAAATTCACATCCTGATAGCACAAAGTGCCTGTAGGACAGCACAGTGCATTTGACAGCAGGAGGACTGAAATTCTTTCTGAGTATGATACTAAAATTTCCTAACATTCTGAGTTAAGATTCAGTGAGAGAGCAATTACCTTATTATACTAAAACTAAGGAAATACACATAAAAAAAGAAACTAGTGAGCCAAGCTAGGAGCATTGTATGTCTAATTTCCTTGAGCCACATAGATGAGTCATATGAAGAGTCAAATAATTTACAAGTTAATCAGGAGATAAATTACAGCTAAGAAAACTATATTTATGATACATTTGCATCTCTATGGATCAAGTCACCATAACATGGGTTTGTTGCAGATATCCTATTTCATTTAATAGTGAAGGCAAAAATTAA